ACAGCACTTAACAATAACTTGAGTCCTGGTGGTGTAGTGGTTAAGACCTTGGCTGCTATCCACAAGAGAAAGATGTGACCAACTGCTTCCATAAAGATTTACAGCCTTGGAAACCCTGTGGGGCAGTTCTACTTCGTTCTAGGTCCTTATGAGTTGGAATCATGGCAGCAAGTAATAGTGTGTGTGTTTTACTTTTGTTAAACAACAGTTATTTATTAAGCTTTTATCCCAGCTCATAGCGATCCTATAGGACAGAGTAAAACTGCCCTGTAGTGTTTCTGAGACTGTAAATCTTTATGAATGCAGACAGCTTCATCATTCTCTTAAGGAGTGGCTGGTGGGTTTGAACCATAGACCTTGTGGTTAGCAGCCCAATGCTTAACCCACTGAGCCATTATTTCCCATAATTTCACCAGCATTCTGAATTTATTTGGCAGACTTTCTGAGGCTTTGCATGCCTTTGAATATTTTTATTATGCCCTCATTTGAATAATAATATGTCTGAACATATATTCTTTCCCTACATCTTCCCTTCCTTCTCTTGTCCCTCCAATTCATTTCCTTCTCTATCTCAACTCTCCTCTTTCTCCCTCCAGACCTTCAGACACACCTCTCAGATGCTAAACCCTGAATGCTCAGCATGAGTGCAAGAGCACCTGAGACTTTGGGCACAGCCCCTGCCTCTCCCACCTCCTAACCTGCTCTCCTGGTCTGTATGCAATGCCCTCACCTCCTGTTCCAATTCTTCCCATACAGACTTCAAGACCTCACTGAGGCCCAGCCTCCTCCAGAAGGCCTGCCTGACACTCCTGGGGCAGACTCATTCCTAGCTCTAACTGTCCCGCTTCATCAGCAGGTGACTAAGCCTTGCGATGTTCTCTAATAGAGAAGAGGTAGGAAGACAGCAGCTCTGCACATATCTAATCACAAGTCTGGCCCTGCCTTCCCAGGATCCTTCTGCAGCGGGGGACCAGCAGGTGGAGAGAACTCAAGAAGAGGTGATGGACTTCAGTCCTTTCAGAAAGCAGCTAATGGAGCTGGAGGCCCCACAGAAACATTTCCAATTTTCCCTGTAGGATGTCTGTGAATGCATGTAGAGTGTGCCTGTGTGCAAGAAAGAGAATGAGTGTGTGAGTCTGAATGCACGAGTCTATGTGAATGTCTCTGTGTCTGTGAGTGAATGGGAGTGAGATTAGCACTCAACACACAACACCCATGCCTTTCTCTGACTGTAGGGAAGGTAATGCCTGCAAGGGTTGGGGCACCACCTGGTGGTCATCATCTATACAAAAGTCACTCTTCCAGACTCCACCCTATCCCCAATAAACACACAGACACCTGATCTCAGATCCTTCACTGAGGTTTCAACCCATCTCCTGACCAACTTGACCCCCAAGGACAGGCCATCTGAGACAGTAACCTTGTCATCTTGAGTCTCCATCAATCCTAGAGCTAGAGTTGGCCAGGCCAGCTCACATCCAATATAGGCCGGTTACTTAACCTCTCTGAACCTCCAGTAATTTAGCAACAGAATGAGAATAATAACAGTATGTACTCCGCAGCATTATCAGGAGGCTGCTTAAATAAAATGTAAAATGAAACCATTAAGTTGGGAGAACAGGGTGCTACAAGAAGCCACTGAGGCTCTGTTGTGTCCAGTGACCTAGTGTGGGCTGCTCAAAGGCTCTGTTCAGAGGCACAGCCCTCTCCCATCCCTCCTCCCCTTCTTCCTTCCCTCCCATCCCTCCTCCTTTGTCAAGCCCAGGCAACCACCCCAGGAGACTTCCCAGAGAGCTCCCCCTGTTCCAGAGATTTCGCCCAATACCAGGTTGCAAGTGAGGGCTGGGCTGTTCACAGGACTGCATGGACCCCCGCCACCAAGTTTTCCCTCCTCCCCAATGTCGGAGTGGTCACCAATTCTGTCAACCCACCATCTCTTGAACACCCAGTCCAGGGCAAACAGTGTCACCCTCAGACCGAGTCCTGCCCAACTTCTCTGGCCGCATCATTTCTCCCCTCTCCAGCAGGATCTTTCCAAAATGCTGTCTACGTCACTCCCCTCTGCCTGCAGAAGAAAGTCTAACTTCACTGGCTGCCCTGGCCTATCTGACTTTTCTGGGGTTACTGCCCTTCCATTTCTCTACTCCCCTGACATACCAGTCCCTCCCCCTTCTATGTCTGTGTCCACCCAGTTTCTTCTACCAGCAGTGTCCTGTCCCCTTTGGCCTGCATGAAAACACCTGCCCACCTCTCAGAGCTTCACCGTGTCTCCTCAGAGTTATGATCTTGCTTGGAGACCCCATGGTCTCAGCGTTATCTTGCTTGGAGACATCATGGCCTGCATCTGAATCTGTATCTGTCTCCACTAGAGGCAGGCTGTTAAGCCCTCCAGATCAGGGGCAAGAGTGCAGTTAGTTTGTCTCTGGGCCTCCGCACAAGATCCATACACACAAGATGTCTGTACACTGTTCATTCAATTTGGTGACAATGGGAGATGTATCACAGCATGAGTTTCAAAGGGATTAAATGTCTTCCAGAGAGGACTAGGGACAAATAGCACATAAAGGGGACAAGGCCCCTGGGACTTGTACACCAGGTTGTGTTTTTTCTCTTTGCCCATTTGTTGTTGCTATTGTTATGTGCATGGAGTCGATTCCAACTCATAGCAACCCTGTACAGGGTTTCCGAGGCTGTAAATCTTTACGGGAGCAGAAATCCTCGTCTTTCTCCCGCAGAACAGCTGGTAGTTTCAAACTGCTGACCATGAGATTAGCAGCCCAATTTGTAACCACTACGCTACCAGAGCTCCTTGGGCTTGTGTAAAAGGGACACACACACATTCAGGTCTGGAGTCATAATCAGGGACAACCATGCTAATTCACACCGGACACAGGCACCGTTAGAATAACCATCTCATGTCAGCCTTGGACCTGGGCCTGACTGCCATTCCTGCCTGAGGGTCCACTGACCCAGCCGGGGCCCTATGCTGTGAGAGGACAGAGACAGACTGGGGAAGCACAAAGCAGGAGCTGAGCAGGCTAGACGTCCAGAGACCATTCAGCCCTAGGGAACAGATCCCTGCCCACACCAGGCTGTGAGAGGCTGTGGGGCAGGGTGAGCAGACACGCTCTGTGGCCCCAAAGGCAAGGTGAGTCAGTCCCCAGGAGTATGGGGGTAGTCAGGATGGCCCTGTCCATCTCCTCCTTGTCCCCCTGTCCTCTCTCTTCCCCAGATGGGTAACCCATAGTCCTCCAGAGAAAGGAGGAGGCCCCAATTGCCCAGGCCCCAAACAGATCAGCCTGTACTGGTCCAGAAGAGATGAGCAGGTAGGGGAGAGAAAGGTGTAGGCAAATGAGGAAGGTAGGGCCTAGAGACTTTGCCAGGCAGAGTCTATTCATGCCTCGCAACCTGGAGTCTGCCCATCTCTTCTAGGGGATCAGGCGACTAACTCCACAGATACAACCCAGGGCTGGATCGGATGTGGAGTCAGATGCAGGGGTACCCCCTTTGAAAGGACTTAGAGAAACTGGCATGTGGGACTTATGGAGACACAGATAGGCATCACTTGGGTTAGAGGAGTTCAGAGGCCCACCTCCTCCAAGCAGCCTTCCTGATTACTTCAAGCTCTCGGTTCTCTTTCCAGTCTGCAATCGCTGCCTGCCAGTATGTCCTCTCCTTGCCCCATACCATATCTCCTCACCTTCCATCTACCCAGCCTCCACCATCTGACACAGGGAGTATCCCAAGAGGGCTATAAGCTCCCCCAGTAGCCAGAGAGTTGTGAAGGGCTTTTGCTTCCTTCCCCTTTCACACACGCATTCACAAAGTCTGCAAACAGCCCCATGGGAGAAGGTTGATAGAAAGAAATAGATTTATCCTCATTTACAAAGCAGTCAGCCCACAGGACCATATACAACAGTTGCACAGAGTCCTAGAAAAACGTATCTCTCTAAAGGCAACTTAGAATAGGTAAGGCAGGTGGCCCCCCTCCCCCCCACCCCACAACACATATAGAACAAAACCAAGAAGAGAGAAGCCAGCAGCCGGCTTCTATGGGGTCTCCTGAGCCCGGGCATAGGTGTATATGGCCTTGAGGAGGAGAGACGCCCTGCCAGGGTTGAGCCAGGTCCCTCTCTGGCTGTAGGAGTGGGGGAGGGGCTCAGGTCAAGGGGGCACAGTCAGGGGGTCACTGAAGGACTCAGATTAGGATTAGTTCTCTGTGCCCTAGGGTGGGAACAGGCCATGGCTTCTCCTGGAAATCCACGGAGCTACGGAGACTTTGATCTAAAAGGGAGCTTAGAGCATGGATTGTCTTACTCTCCCCTTTTGCCCAGAGAAGGGAAGAGACTTGCCCAGGGTCACACAACCAGGAGGAAGCACTGCCAACTCCATCCTGGGCCTGTCTCGCAACCCAGGGATCCTTCCTGCCCATCATTCTCATGAGCTTTCTTCCTCTGGCAGTTTCATCCTGGGCATCTATCTCCCCTGGCCTCATTCATAAACATGGTGCTAGCCCTCAGTGACACCTTTGGCCCCATGGCTGTTCCAATCCTTCCACAGAGCTAATGGCTGCTGCTAAGCCCCCACCTTCTTCTCACTTAGCTGCTCCACCTTTCCCTCCCATAAGGACCCTGGAAACCTGGGGGTGCCCACAGGTTCAGTGGAGTGGAGTTGGGCACAAGATGAACAATCCAGGCAGCTTCAGAGAAGGAGTGGCTTGGGGAACACTTGCCAAAGTGCTGTCAGAGGTGCAGAGTCAAGCCCACTGGTCACCCCAGTGCTCTTGAGCACAAATTACAAAAGTCTTGGTGAGGCTGAAAGCCTTGCTCCCATTCTACAAATGAAAAAGCTGAGGTCCAGGAAAGGTGGGACTGGTCCAGGGTCACACAGAAAGTCCTAGTCTAGAACCCAGGACTCCTGGCTCTGGTCCCCAGTGCATCAGCCAGGCCGGTGGAGAGTGGTGGGAGGAGGCCTGGGTGGGGAAGGGTCCCGAGAGGGGCTCACTCAGCATCAAGGCTGCAGCAGCCATTAATGGGGGCCCTGGTGCCGTCTAGCTCAGACACCTCGTACTCCTCGTCCAAGAAGTCCAGTGAGTTGTTGCTTGGGAGGCCGCGGATGGTGAACTTGTGGGACACCTTAGTCCAGTGTTCACGGTTAGAGGCCACGCGCTCATATAGCTCTGCTGCCTTGGGGAACAGGTCCTGCAGCAACCTGGGGCACATGGGGGAGGGGTCAGAGATTAAAATAAGCCAAGCTTTTCAAGGTAGCATGAAAGATTGGGCCTGGCCCATAGGTAGTACTTCCACCAGAGTATGAGGCATAAGACTGGACACTCAAGGATGGCTTCTATCCATGGGAGAGCAAGGATGAAGAGAAGGCCCTAGTTGGGAGTGAAGTAGGAGACAGCTGTGCTAGGGCAGGGGCAGAGCAGACAGACCTGTGTTACTATGATGCCAACAGGACTGGTCTGATCCTGCCCCGCCCCGCCTCTCCGTACAGGCTCCTGGGGCTCACTCACTTGTAGATGGGCATCGCAATGTGCTCCATGAAGCTGATCTGCAACTCAGGAATGTAGGCCTTCTCCCGGTCCATCATCTCCATTGGCCTGTTGCCCATGGCCTTCTCCTGCAGGCACAAGCTCTTAGGCCTGACCCTCTGGCTCCGTCATCAGGTACCAAGGTCAGGATAACCCAGATCCTCCCAGCCCCAAGACAAGAAACCTCCCCCAACCTGGGCAGCCTGAGGCCCCTCCACACATACCAAGTCTCCCTGGGAGAAGAACTCTTTGTAGATCAGCTCCTGAAAGGTCAACACTCTCCATCACACACTGTGAGTAGGACTCATCTTCCCAGCCCAGTCCCATGGGGACAAAATGAGGCCCAGTGATTCAGGGACCACTTCAAGACCTGTCCTCATCACCCCTGGACTGGCAGTGGGATGGCCCCAGATTGAGAGGGGTGTCGGTAGCCCTGAGATGGTCTGGGTTTTGTCTCACAAACAGGATGTTCAGGCTGTAGGAGCCGTTTGGTGCTTTCTCTAAAACAATGCTTACAGCAATCTTACGGGTGGTCTTCCAGCCCTTGGTCTGGTCAGAGAGGTCACATGAGGTCATAAGGAGGCAGAGGAGGAGGCTGTGGTGCTGTTTGTTGGTTCGGTCATAGCCCACTGTTGGGGAGAGGATGGGGTCAAGGAGAAGGATCCAACCTCCTTCACCTCTGTCTCTGAAGACAAGGCCCCAGGAACCACCCCAAACGGTCCAGGGAATTTTGTGCCCTCAATAGGAGCCAAGTGGCCCAGGCTGGGTCTGCCTGGTGGAGCCCTGAAGTCAAAGAGAGGGTTGATTCTGAAGGCAAATCTCCTTCCTGAGATCCCTTCCCAGCCCTGAGGCCTAGGACTGAAGGCGGGCACCTTCAGCCATCTTCTGGAGGTCCTTGAAGATGCGAAGGTGGTGTGCCAAGTCCGTTGCCAAGATGATATCCCGCATCAGGTCCAGCATGCGCTGATAGTCCTGGAGTAGGGTGGGTGGAGGCAAGGGCGTCATGGCCTGCCCAACACCCAGAACTCTGCCCCTAAAGAGCTTCCACGTCTCAGCTCCTTCTCCTGTCTGCAGCTCCCACCCTCTCTCCCCACCATGTGTCTCATCACCTTCCGGGAGAAGTGATCGAAGATGTTGCAGCCGTGGGTGTTCAGGATGGCAATGGCCTGAGCAAAGTGGTGTCTCTGAGGGAAAGGAAGGGTGAGGATTCAGTGGAGAAGCAGGGCCCAGTCCAGCCCCAGACCCCAAGGTCAGCAAAGCTGAAGAAATAGGAAGCTTGGAAACCCACTCCCCTTTCTGAGGTCTAGGCAAACTGGAGCCCACTCTGAACCTAGATTATACCACTGTCACATAGAGAGGTTGACTAAATAAACTCTGAAGGCCTCTCAAGCTGAAAAACAATTCTGAAATGATCCCTCTGGGTCCTAGACACTAATTCATGCAACAAACATTTGTTTGCTGACAAGGAAAGACAGTGATGAGGAGAGGGCAAAGCCCTTATCTCCTGACGCTAAAGGGCTGTCACTTGGAGGAAGAGAGGCGCATCCTGGGGCCCAGGGGGCAGAGCTTCTCGGGAATGTGAGCGAGCACCTTGTCACCCAGGGTGCAGGCAAGGGTAGCCTCTGGAGGGGTGCAGTGCGAGGCAGCTTGGGTGATTCAGCTTCTGTTCTGTGCCAAGCCTGGTGTCAAGTGCAGGGAACTCAGAGATGTCTGAGAACTCATCTATGCCTTACAGAGTCCCCATCTGGGGGTGGCAGACCCCAACCAATCCAAGGCAAACCTAGGTGTGGTCACCGATCCTAGGATTAGGGGTCAAGGATGGCACGGAGTATGCTTCAGAGGCCAAAGGGGAAGGTGCTAACTGTAGGTTCTCTCTTCTCAGAGTGGGGCATAGGCAGAACCTATAGCCCCACTGACCCATACCCACACCCACACCCCCTCCAAGCCCTCTGGGTGCTCTGGGCATGGCTGTAGCTCTCACAGCTATCCTGAAGAGCATGGTTTATGGCAGAGAGAAGCTGGGTGATGTCATCTACTGAAAGGGGATAGCAGGGGCTAGGGGGTTGGGCAGAACGACAGTACCTCCATGACAGAGCCCTCGGAACTGTAGAGCGCAGCCAGCACAGATTTCTGGAAAAGTCCAGAAAAACTCCTGTCATCCCACACACCCAGATCCCAGTGCCTGCCATATTAGGTTGAGCTTGGCATCTCTCCAATAACAAAGTCAAGCCAGTTACTGTCGATTCCAACTCATGGCAACTCTGTGTGTTATAGAGTAGAACTGCTCCACAGAGATTTCAAAGTTGTGACCTCTTGCATATAAATTACCAGTCTTTTCTTCCTAGGCACTTTGGGGAGGGTTCAAACTATCAATTTTTTTGGTTAGTCAAACATTATATATATATATATATAGTGGTGGTTATGTGCCGTGGAGTTGATTCCAACTCATATCGACCCTGTACAGGATTTCCGAGGCTGCAAATCTTTACTGGAGCAGAAAGCCTCATCTTTCTCCCATGGAACAGCTTGTAGTTTCGAACTGCTGACCTTGAGGTTCGCAGCCCAATTCATAACCACTACGCTACCAGAGCTCCATATATATGTATGTTGTTATTAAGCGCCATTGAGTCCGTTTGAACTCATAGTGACCCTGTATAGGGTTTCTGAGGAGTGACTGGTAAGCCCGAACCGCTGACCTTGCAGTTAGAACCGACCTTGCAGTCCAGCACATTAACCCGCAGCACCATACCAGGACTCCAATATATATATCGGGGCTCCCTCCTGTATCTAAAACTGACTCCTGGTCTCACCAACTCCCACCTCTCCTCAGGCTGGGGGGCATGAGACCCCCAGAAACCTGGAAGGGTGTCCACCCTGAGGAGCACAGGGTCTTACCGAGGCCACCTGGAAGGAGTTGTTGGTGCCTCTGTGGTCCAGGTCGTGACACATGCAGGAAACAAACAAGGCGAAGATCTCGATGTCCCTGGTTGAAAGGTGGGTGAAGAGAGATCGCCACACAGTTCCCCCCACCATCAGGACTCACAGAGGAGGAGGGAGACTCCAGGAGTTGCCCAGACAGGGGTTGGGATACTTGGGTTCCCTTTCTAGAAAAAAGCCCTGGCTTTGGAGTCTGGCAGACCCATCAAGCCCTGGCTTTGTGACTGTGGATGATGAACTCTGCACCCTCACCTGGACTGTTAAGAGGATCACATGAGGGGGCACATAAAGGGCTTGGCACATAGGAGGTACTTCCATGCCCCAGAGAAGGGGCTCCCAACAGCTGCCAAATGAGACTGAATGTACAACCACTCACTCGAGGTAGTTTGCAAGCTCCAGATTCTTGTAGAGTAGGTAGCAGAAATGGGAGACAGAAAAGGCGTGCATCCAGTTATGGTAGGGGGGGTCCCGGTAGCCCTTCTTCACCATCAAACAGAACCTGGGAGAGAGGAAAGGGCACCAGTGTCTCAGTCCTCCTTCTCCAACAAGTCCTTCAATGTCTGCCTGGGCCTCCATCCTTTCTCATACTCCCTCCCTAGTGGTCACAGTATCTGAGAATCCCCTCTCATCCATGGTTGTCCCCCACCCCCACAGGACTGGGTCATCCTAGTCTTCCTCAGGAAGATCCCTGCCCAGAACCTTGGATATGAGAGTCAAGGGCAGAGGGAGGCAGAAACAGGGACTGTCTGCATAGAGGGGTGTTGACGACACACCGGGCCAGGGTGGGGCAGTCGATTTTGTAGCTGTTGATGAAATTCATGTCTTGCAGCATGCTCAGGATAGCCTAGAGAGGACAGGAGGGGGAGGTCAGAGGCGTGGCCAACATCAGATGATATCCCTCAATGGATATGATGGTTGTTGCACCACAAAAATTTTGAATCAGCAAATGTTGTGCTATTTATATATTTAACACAATAAAATATTTTAGCTAAAAAAAGTTGCTTCTGAAACTTTTGGTTATAAAACAGAACCCTGAGTTTTAAACCCAAATTACTGAATCTAAAATACTGAGGGTTGGGAGAAAAGAAACAAACATTGTGCCCCTGGTGATTCTATTTGGACTAAAATGTGAGAGTTTATGACTAAAATAATATGGTCAATATTATTAAAAGAAAGAAAAAGAGGAGTACCTGCCCTGAGCCTTTTAAAAAGACCCCCACACAAAATTTAGGAGTCTTAGAGACTTAAAGGAGCTCTGGTAGCGTAGTGGTTACGAATCGGGCTGTGAACCTTAAGGTCAGTGGTTCGAAACTACCAGCCGCTCCTTGGGAGAAAGATGAGGCTTTCTACTCCCGTAAGGATTTACACCCTCGGAAACCCTGTTACAGGGTCGCTATGGGTCGGAACCGACTCGACAGCACTTAACAACAACAACAACAACAGAGACTTAAACTAAAACAAACAATTCATAGTGACCCTATAGAACTCCACAGGATTTCCACAGCTGTAAATCTTACAGAAGCAAACTACCACATCTTTCTCCCACGGAACAGCTGGTGGGTTTAAACCGCAGACCTTTTGGTTAGCAGTCCAATGCTTAATCAACTGCACCTCCAGGGTTCCTTAGATTAAAACTACCAAACGATAAGCTAAAACCACTGCCATTCCAGGCTAGCGGAGTATACCCTTTGGTTAGTTGATGATGCATGGAGGGGATTGTAACCATGGCAATGAAACGATATATGATAGGATGAATGTAAAGCTAATGTTCTCCCACATAATTCACAATAAAACAATTTAAAAAAAACCAAACACTATCATTCATTGAGTCTATTTCAACTCATAGTGACCCTCTATACAGTTTCCCGGAGTCCTGGTGTGGTGTTGTGGGTTAATGCACTGGACTGCAAAGTTGGTTTGAACTGCAAGGTTGGAGGTTCAAGTTCACCAGCTGCTCCTAGCAAACCCTATTCAGGATTGTTATGGGTCAGAATTGACCCGACGGCACTGAACAACAAAAATATGGTTTCCCAGACTATAAATCTTTAAGGGAACAGAAAGCCTCATCTTTCTTCCACAGAGTGGTTAGTATATTTGTTTGAACTGCCAACCTTTTGTTTAGTAGTCCAGTGTTTATCCTACAGAGTCAAGCTTTCTCAGAGCCTCAAATTTTCAGAAATAAATGATCTGAGACCTAGGAATGTTTGGGGATCAAACTCACACAAAATCTTAGAAAACCAGATATGGAGGTACAAACTCCGTGGACATGGGCCCTGGGCACTGGCGGTTCCAGAGCAACCCTTGGTGACCCTCTAGCCCAGCCCTGGCCTCTGGGAAGGCCCATGGCCCATGATGGCACACCTTACAACTACTTCATCTCTGAGGGAGATCCCACAGTGTTCCTTGATTGCTTTTCTAGGAAGTTCTTCAGAACATCTAACTTAATTCTCAAGCTGCACACCTTCCACCTTGCCCAATCATGCAGGGGAGGACAGCTTACCATGGATGTGTCATCCTCGGGCAGAGAGCGAGGGGTGTAGGTGAAACTTGCAAAGTTGGAGTCAATGGCAGCCACAGGCTGGATCCCATTGTAGAGAAGTTTGGTGTACTCATCGTCTGAGACCTAAAGGGGCCCATTGAGGGCATCAGAAACTCTACCCACCCAGTGTCTCACCTTCAAATTCCCACTGAGGAAGGGAAACCCCTTACCCAGAATGCACCACAGCCCACTCCAGGTTTGTCATTGGGCAGATCGCCCAGCCCTCACCCTCACTGTCCTGTAGCCACTGCCTGTGACCATTCTCATCTAGAACAGCCTATCCTCAGCAAAGATTGGGGACACCCTTCATGCAGTCCCAAACCATGGCAGCCTTTCCTAAATACTAACTCAGTGTTCTTTCTTTTTCTTTCGGGGGTGTATGTGTGCAATATCCCAGTGTCTAACCTCAGTCATTCTGACTACAACTTTGATCTTATAGTTTGGATACAAGTAAGAACCAATGTCCAGATGAACAGAGGTGACTACCACATATTCTGAACTAAAACCTGGTCCCATTTTTCTGACATGGGCTAAAATTGGGATAAGCTACCAACAATCAAGGCTTCTCAGGGCTGCATGATCACTGTGTCTGAGGAGAGCTGTGGGAACGGACCCTGGGTAGGCTTTCTGGCCTTCAGTAAGTAATTCCTGAACATGGAGGAAACCTGGCTGAACAATATCCCTGAGCTTGGCCTTGCTGGAAGTTTCAAGCCTTGGAAGGGAAGTCTATAAGCTGTAGGACAGGAGGAGGCTGCCCCTAAGGAGTGACCAGGAGAGCAAGAGGCCACGTTTTCCTCTGGTCTCTCTTCACATCTTCAGGAGAAGGCAACCAGAAAGCCCAGTCTGTTCCTGAGCCTCTGAGGATTTGGGGAGGCAGGGAAAGGGTGTAGAGGAGCAGGCAGCCCTGCAATCCTGAGAAGAAAGACAGAAGCTCTGTGCAGGCCTCACCTTCATGTGGTACATCATCATTTCGTTGGCCAGGTGGCTACGATACTGGGCCTCATTGACTTTTTTGTACAGGAGGGACTGGGGGAAGAGAGGGAAAGATGGGACTCAAATAAGGCAGCTGTAAAATCTCAGAATGGCCAGAACTGAGACAAAAGGGTCAGACAGAAATCCCCTTCCTGTCCCACCTCTGGCCTGCCTGAGCCTTTGAACTCCAGGCCAGAGCTTGAACCACCCCACACCCAACTTTCAGCCAGGCCTCCCTCTCTTCTCCTCCCCAGGCCTTCTTAGCATTTGATCTGGCACTCAGCACAATGCACTCATTCCTGCCCCACTCTTCAGTGATGGAACCCCATGGCAAGGGAAGGGAAGAAAGGAAGGGAAATAGGGGGAGGGACCTAAGAACAGGATACCCAGGTCAGAGATGCCAGGACATATGGACAAGATGTCTCAGTGTTTCCCCAAAAAAAGCTGACTCGCATCTTGGGTTGAGGTTGCTTCCAGAGAAAGACGAGTTGCCTTTGATTTTACTCCTACTCACGGCTACCCCATGTGTGTCAGAGTAAAACTGTGGTCCATAGGATTTCAACAGCTGACTTTTCAGAAGTTGACTGCCAAGGCCTTGCTTCCCAGGTGTCTCTGGGTAAACTTAACCCTCCAACCTTTCTGTTAGGAGCCAAGTGTGTTAACTGTTTACACCACTCTGGGCTTCTGAGTCAAGAGAAAGATGACAGCTGGGATTTCAAAGCATTTCTACTTTCCCTTCTCTGACTCTCATGATCTTGGCTGGCTGGCTAAGCAGAGCCGGTAATAGTACTCCCGATTTACAGAGGGGAAACCGAGGCCAGAGGTGGCCAACATGTACTGAAGATTGCACAGCAACCTAGCATCAGGGCTCTGTATCAGCCCGCCCCCCTTCCCATCGTCCCCAGCTCACATGGGCGATACTGATGCCGCAATAGATGGAGAAGGCTGTTGCCAGGTCCTCATCGAACTTGCTGAACCACGGTCCATTGATCTTGTTCACCAACTCGGCCACACCGATGACCTCTGGGGGCGAGAGACACGCTGGGATCGGCTGGTGTAGAGGTCCCATGGCATCTGGCCTTCTCTGATGCCCTCAGGATATGCCCCACGAGTAGGAAACTCCGTCCCTTGGGATAGGAGTCACTAGAGGCGGTAGGGAAGGGTCGCCAATCCTGCGCTCGGCTCCGCCCCATCCTGCTTAAACCGAGCCCACACCCGGCCCCGCCCCGGGTCGGTCCTGCCTCTGCCCCGAGTCTCATTCTCTGCTAGCTACTGCAGTGAGTCCGCACCCTGGTTCTCGTTCTTGATGGGAAAACACAGAATGTTGCGCGTGCGGAAGCCAGTACTGTCGTCCACGCCGCGGTAGAAAAGCGGGTGTGCGTATGCGTCCGGGATGTTCAGGATCTGGCCAGTGGTCGCCACATGACCCGCGATGCCCTGATCCGCCGGGATGCGGATCTCATAGCTCTGCCAGGTCAGGGATCCAGTAGGGAGGAAGAAGTTAGGGACCCAGCCACAGGGTCAACCAAAGTCGGGTTGACTCCTCAGCGGCCCCTGCAGACTCCTGGTCCCCAGTCTGTCCACGAGGCTCCGCCTCACCTCATCATCCACCACACCCCCGTCGAACACCTTGGCCACCAACTCGTTCTGATCCAGCAGGAACACCGAGCAACTGTGGGAAGGAGAAGTTGTTCACAGCGCCCTGACATCCCCTCCACCCACCTCCCACTTTTCAGTGATTTCCTTTCTGAGGTCTGGGAGAAGAAGTGCTCCTTGGTGACAGGCATGCCTTAGGACAGAATGGCTGTTTCCATTCAAATCATGCGCCCAATTAAAAAAAAATTTTTTTTGTTTGAGAATCTACTATGCAGAACCATGTGTTAAAGGCTATGGAAACACAACAAGCAAAGCCAGCCCCCGTCCCTGCTGTCATGGTTGCCTACAGCCCAGTGAGGGAGACAGGCATGACAAAAAGGACCACACAAAAGGTGACAGGTTCCGAGAGAAGGCGGTGGGGGGAGGATCAGCTGATGAGAATGGAAACCACGGAAAACCACGGAGAGCCTCCCTCTCGCCATACCCTGGGCACATTCACTCACATCTCCGAGTTGCTAAGGTTCCTGGCTTCAGTAATGATCTCCTGGAGCAGGACAGAGACATCATCTGCAAGAGTGGGCAGCCCAGGGGCAATACTGAGACCAGGCCCTCTCACCTCTCTCCTACCCAAAACGCCAGCCCCCACTCCCACCCCACAGACAGGCATGGAAGAAGACAGCACACCCACCTAGGTGAGTGAAGAGGTTCTTTGCCACTTGAAGAAGAGCCTGGAATGGAGGAAATGGAGTTCAAAGGGGGTTCAAGCTGCAGAAGTCTTATCCAGCCCCCTACCTCCAACAGCCCCAGAAGTACTAGAACAGGATGGAAACCGGCAGTGTCGATTTGTATCTTTTGACTACTGAATGAAGGAATGGAAGAATAGCTCCAAGGAAGGTGGTAAGAATCCCCAGTTCTCAGGTTCTTAGAGGTGGGTATACTTTGGGCTCTCACCACCCAGATGTTGTTGTAGTACCCATATAAGACACCAGAGGGCAATCATATACAGGGCCTGCCCACAGTGCATCTGGTCCCAAAGAACCACTGACCTCCCTCTATGTAAGAGGCTTCAGGTCACTAGGCTATCTACTAGCAATAGGGCAGGGCTGCCATCTGCCCCAAAAGACATGGACTTTTCACCTGTGACTGACGCTCAGGCTGAGAGCTGGGTGAGTTGTTCACAAGAGAGGCATGAGACAGGTCACTCACCTGACATTCACACTTGAGTTTCTGCTCCTTCTGAAAGGCCAAGGTGCTGGTGAGCACTGTGCTTGTGTAGCGGAAACAGTGCTGTATCACATGCTCATCCTGCTCCGTGAACCTGGGGGTTGGCAGTGGGGTTAGGCGTCACAGAAAAGGAAGAAGTCTGGGAAGTTCATACTTGGAAATCGACTAGCTACTAGAATGCTCTCTCTCTACTGGGGCTGCTCCATACACTAGTGGCTTGGGTCAGCTTCCCCTCTCAAACTGTAGTTTCCCTGAGGGGAGAGTCTGCTTCCCCCTCAGAACAAACTGTGTTTTCCTTCTTGGATTATTGCTTCCTGAAGCAAGAGTCATGTCTCCCTCCTTTGATTTGAGATTCACCCAGGCCAAGGCTAGGTCTACACCTTCAGACTAAAGATTTGCCCAGGCCAGAGCTGGGAGGAGTCCCTCTAGCTTCGGGAAGGGGTGGTGCTTTAGGGTAAGGGCCTGGTTTTGTCTGTCCAGCTCCTTGCATTGTCTGACTCTCTGGACTTTGCTAGCTCAGATTTGATTCCTTCTCAGGGCCCACCTCCCTCATAGAGGTGGTAAGATCAGGCCCAAATCCTGCTGATGTCATTTAATTTTGTCACCAATTGACTGATGGACCAGGCTGTATGGGGCTTGGGATGTGGTTAAGTTCCTCAAGGTGGTGGTAGTGAAGGGAGATGGGGTGGGGGTAGGGGAGTGCCTCAGTCATGGTCCCAGGATTTTCCTGCCTTAGTACACTTGCCATTCTTTGCTGGCCTCAGTATACCTCACTGCCAGGAGAGACAGTCAGGAGGTGTTTGCTGAGTATCTTACTTGTACCTACCAGCTGCTCTTTGAAAACCCTATACAAGGTCGCTATGAGTCAGCCCTGAACAACAACAACCGTACTCTATTCCCTAGTGGGCCATGGCCTTGCCAGCAGCCTCATCTCCCTCCCAGCTGAAGAAGGGATTCTGGAATCCCTATTATCTGACAACTTAGTGAGGTCTCAGGCAGCTTCTCTGTATTCACTACTCCCCACCGTGATTCATCCAATAATTCACCACTTACTCTCAGAAATGTATGGGACTCAAAGATGGTACCCAATCTGCCCTGGGTCTCAGGACTCTCACAGGGTGCCATCTTGTTTCCCTTCTAATACCAACCATCTTCCCAGTCTGGGACCATCCAGAATCCAGCCCCATAGCCATCAGCCAGAGGTCGTGGTCCCTGCTGAGCCTCCACTCCCACCCCAAAGGCCTTCTTGCCAGCACAGGACTGAACAGACATAATAGGTGCTCAGTGTTAACTGAACGACACATACACTCCCACCACCAGGGTGCCTCCAGTGCCAAATCCCACAGGTCCAGCACTCAGTCTGCCTCAGTCAACTCTGCCTAGGATTCACCTTGCTCCTATGTCTTTATTTCCCCAGACCTATCCCACTGCCTCCTGAGCTCCACATTGCCAGACCTGCTGCTCAGACTTCTGGGTCTCTGCTCCATCCCTACACGCCCATTCCTGAACTTCTGACACCTGTCTAGTCCCAACCTGGAGCCATTCATCCCTCCTCCAGTAGGATCTCAGGGCCTGCTGGCTTGCCCTCCATCTTGTCAGCATCTCCCTGCATCTTATACTCAGGACTCCATGCATCACCTGAATGCTCCTTCCCATTTGTATGACACCATACAAACTACTAGACCAAGTTTGGTGACCATACGGCACTCATGTCCTGAGCCTGCGCCCAAGACAGAAAAGGCTAATGATTACAAGACTATTTCTCACTGAATTCATTCTCAAGACAATGATTCAGGCAGCTACTCCCAGTTAATGAGCTAGTGTAGAATATGAAGTCTATTTCACTTCCAGACCCCAAATCTGACCTCACTTCTTAAAATATGCTTCCTGACTAAGCCTTCAGGTCTGTTTGCCTGGATGCTGTGTCCTTCATTCTTAGACTGGTCGGTGGCTCTAAAGATCCCCAATTTATCCCAGCCCCCAGATGCCCTTGTCCACTGTGTGAGAAAGTTCATCCATCTCAAGCTCACCCACTCCTCCATCAGACAGTTCCCAAAAGAAGATAGCAAGTTGAGGGAGAAAGTAATTCAAACTTCAGGAAGTAAAAGAAGAGAGAAACTAGTTTGGGCTCCAACAAGACTTTAAATAAGCCAAAGTGGGTGACAGAGAACTAACTATAACCCATGCTTCAGCCAGCATCAGCTACAAGGGCCTGCAGCCCCCCAAACCCTAGTCTTTTGCACTGAAAAACTATTCAGCCCTCATCTTCTCCCTGCAGCTTCCTCCTTCTTGAGCTCCAGGATGCCTCTGCCACCTCACTGTGATAGTGTGCCCCCTGCCTAGCACCCTTCTCACACCAGTACCTTTGACAGCCCTGCCCAACCTCTTAACTCCATCACCCCACCCAGACTCACAAGTCTCCTCCAAGCTTGTTGAAGGCGCAAGACAAAGCCACCACCTGGTCAGTGGCCCGGCTGATGACAGGGACACAGAGCATGGCCTGCAGTTCACAGCCCAGCACATTTTGCAGCTGTTGCACATCCTCCTGCAGAGAGGAGGCAAAAGGGAACACGTCAAGACAAAGAAGGAGGGAGGGAGTATGCTCCCTCCTCTAAACCTCTGCCACCTTCTGCACCAGGGAGTTTTGAGGGTCTCATTCAGGGAAACACTATGACATAAGGGTAGCATGGTGGCAAATTCTCAGGTCTTGTTTCATTCCTAGGTTGCCTGTCCCAGAGATCCTGGCTTAGGGAGTTGGGCATTGGGCTCTCCCTCCCCTGATTCAGTTAGGATGTGGCTCACAGAGGTGAGGTCCTTCAGCTGGATGGACTTCTTGTCTTCCACCACCTGGCCCAGGCGTCCTGTTGTCAGCTGGAAAACGGGGGAGAGGCTGAATCAGAACCCACAGAGAGAATCTCATCCTTTTTCCCCCAAGTCTGGAAGTTTCAACAATCTTCAGTCAGCCCAGATGGCAGGTGGGGTCAACTCTAGAGAGAGGGAGGGAGAGTCTGCCTTTGACCAGTACCCCCAGGATAAGCAGACTCCAACAATGCACACATGTTTCAACAGTTTCTAAGAAGAGATTCAAACCCAGAAATATTCCATCAGAAGTGAACTGGTCCCAAAGGTCTGATATATCTTTCTATGGATCATACAAGATTTCTCCTAATGAGTTCTGGTGTGCCTCTAGATTATTTATAAGTAGATCCAAAATTCAGATTTCAAGAAATTCTATCCAAGGTAGATCCCATGAGTCCCTATTGCTAGCTGCTGTGGAATTGTCTCTGACTACATGGTAACTTCATGCACAATGGGATTGGACTACTGTGACCCATAGAGATTTCCATTGGCTGATTTTTTGGAAAGTCTATTGCCAAAACTTTCTTCCTAATCTATTTTAGTGTGGAAGGCCCCCTGAAATTCATTTAGCTTCATAGCAACACGCAAGCGTCCACTGAGGCGGGTGCTAACTGCACTTGGGATGCACTGGCCAGAAATCTAACCTGGTCACCAGCATGAAAGAGGACAATGCTGTCACTAAACTACCACTACCCCTTTCCATGAGTGCCTGCACCTCAGGGAGATGGGATACCAGACTCACTGGAAAGCTGATCTCTTCCTCCAGCACTTTATCTCCAATGACCTGAGGGGTGGAAGGGTCCAGTTAAAGATCAGAAAGAATCTCCCCTCCCCCTGGAGATCCTGGTCTCTCATTTCGTCCCAACTTTGCCCGCAGACCAGGACCCTCACCTTACAGGAAAGCTGGAGATTGTCCTCGGACACCAGCAGGAGACAGCACCGCGATGCCTGGGTCTCCTGCTGCAGCTGAGAGAAAGGACACAATTTGGGGCTGACCACGATCTGTAGCCACTTGGGCGGGAGGGAAGAGGCGGGGCTTTGGGGCAAGGGAATCAGAACTGTGATGGAGCGCTCCCTGGAGGGAAACTGGGTGCGGAAGTGGGTGAGAAGGGCGCAGGGACTCACGTATTGGAGAACTTTAAGCTGCAGGGAAGAGGCATCTAGCTCGTAGAGTTCCCCTGTAAGGACAGGGGTCGGGTCAGAAGAGGGCTGGACTCATCTCCCTGGCCCTGACCCTCAGGCCCTGTCCAGTCCATAGATTCTCCCAAGGCCCTCCTTCCTGGCCTCTAATCAGATCTTTCATTTTATGGCCCCGCCCAGCTCGTCCCACCACTGGTTCCGTCCCTCTAGCACAGTCCCTGAGGCCCCACCCGAGTTCTAAACTTCTAAAGGACCCCTTACCGGAGCCTCTCACCTAGAGCCCACCTGTAGGCGCAGTTCCTCAGGCCCCGCCCACACCCGCTGACCGCTCCACCCCTCGCCAGATTCGGCTGTGGCCTCACTCAGGACCTAGCCCAGGCACCAGCGCTCACCACAGAGTTGTAGAACCTTGCGATCCTGGCCCGAGTACTCAACTCCGCCCTTCTGGTCGCCCGCTGTCGGCGCTGGGGAGTTCTGGACTGCACCGGGGCCCGCGGGTGGCCCGTGCTGCTGCAGGGCCTGCACCCTCCTCAGGGCCACCAGGGTCTGGAGTGGAGACAGCGGTCAGCGAGTCAGTCGCCCCAATCCACTGGCGCTCGCCGCTTCGGGATTCAGTGCCATTCCACCTGCCTCTGGTGCCCACCGCCTCACCTCACCCCACCCTAAACAACTCATCCCTCAGGGCTCTGCTTCGACAGCGCCTCCTGCGGGACGCTCAGCACCCCATAGGCGGAGCCAGTCCCACCCTTCTGCTGGCTCCCACCGCCCCTGGAGCATTCCCTGAATGAGTGGTTATAGGATCTGCCTCTACACTCTAACCCTCAGATTCTTCCAAGACAGGCCAGGATCTGGTTTCAGATTTCTCTTTGTCTCCAGCACCCATGGGGAGTCAGTAAGTCCTTGTCAAAGTCACAAAATCATAAACTCTCCGGCACGTGGAGTCTGTTCCAACTGACAACTGCCCTGTATAGGGTTTCCCAGGAGTGGCTGGTGAGATTGAAAAGCAGACCTTTCGGTTCAAACCGACGTTCAGGTGGAGTGCTTATCATACAACGCCACACCTGTCAGTAAAATGCCTCAATATCACGGATATAGGCAATCCTATGGGCACCTCCCTTTAGTGTTTGTTGCTAAGTACCACTGAGTTGGTTCCGAAGCATAGTCACCTTGTACAGGCTTTCCAAGGAGCAGCTGGTGAGTTTGAACCACCAACGTTGTGGTTCAAACTGACCTTGTAGTCCAGTGCTTTACCCCACAGTGTCACCTTATTTCATCACAACACTAGGCAGGTTAGTGTTATCATTATTCCCATTTAGGGTCGCTATGGGTCGGACCCGACTCGATGGCACTTAACAACAACAACAACAACAACAACAGATGAAGCTCAGAGAAGCTACATGATTTGCTTCAGATCACAGAGCACACAGCTCCCTGGCCAGATCATCTTTCCACCAGCTATGATGAAGAAGATGTGCAGCAGTACACCTTTCTGCCTGCCCCACCCCCTCCCCCATCCTGCCCTGTCCCCATCCCCACTCACATGCTTCTCCACAGCCTGCAGGCTCCATTCCTCACTGTCACTTAGCTGGCCACAGTGCACCTGGAGAGATGGGGGAAGGGGGCAAGCTGTGACCTCCTGTCTCTGCCAAAGTGCCCTCGGCATGCGCAGCATACACCTACCCTCAGCAACACAAACACACTCTGGCCTGTGAGCCTCAAGCACAGGCCCACGTGATCAAGTTGAGAGTTCCAGGAAAATTCCTTCCCCCAGGAAGCCCTCCTAGGGCTGATCCAAAAAAAGTGGGGCTTCTCCTCTGATCTCTGCCTTTCAGTCATTGTCCACCAACAGCAGAAGTCACCAAGGGGACAGCCAGATTTTCAGCAATGTGTATATTTGGAGGGGTGACCTTAGACCCCTCTCTCTGTTCCCCAGTCCATGGTGTTTTTGCCACCTGAGTGTGGAATCAATGGCATTAGTCTCAGCCCCTAGACCCATGCTTTCTGAGTTAAGGTTTGAGCAACACTGAAGTCTAGGGTAAGTGAAGAGGTCCAACATTTATGATGCATCTGCTATGCCTGAAGATGGGAAGGAAGAATGAATGAATGGAGTGCTTTGCCTTACATGTTATTCTCACCACCCCTGAGAAAGCTCCCACCTTGCAGGCGAAACAAGGCTCAGAACAGTTGAGCGACTTGTCCAAGGTCACAAAGCAAAAAGTGGCAGAGTTGGGATAATACCATTCACTCTCCCTTCTCTACCCACACCTTCCCCTCTCCAGATCTACTTTCACTACCATCCCCTCATCCTTGTTTCTCTTCATGTTCCTGGTGCCAGTTACCATGGGTCCCCTTAGCCCATCTTTCATACTCTGTGAAGTCTCTTCCCCCATCTCTGCTTGGGAGCTTAGTGAAGAAAATGAGGGGGGTTGAAGAAGGAGTGGCTTTCTGCAGGCCCACTGCAGGGCATGCCAGCAAGGCTCCCCACCTGCGTCACCAGCTTCTGGAGCCTACTTAGAGCTGTTCACCACCTACGGGGCTCCCCACAGTGTCTGTGCTGAGCCCTTCCCTCAAGCCTCCCTTCCTACTCAGCAGCCCCTACCGCCTCTGCTCTGGATCCCCTGCCAGGAGCAGATGGAGAGGAGGAGACCAACAGGTTCTCAGGAAGCTCAAGGTCTGGCTGGGGCAGGATGAGGGATGCGGGGGTGGAGGAGGTACCATGAGAGGAGAGATGTGGAGCCTCATACCCTAGGAGGAAGGCCTCTCTGTGGAACCCAGATGTGAAGACATTCATTCAGGAGGCTTCCTGAACCAGATGCTGATGCATGGAAAGGACAAGCAGAGCTTGAAGAAAGGGGCATTGAAGACAGGGGACTGTCTTGAAATAGGGGGAGATGAGGACTCAGGCAGGGATGGAGTCCTTGATTGAATGGAGGGAAAGGCCTTGAGTGCCAAATGTGCAGGAACTGAACTTTAGCTGATGGTACTGAGCAGCCATGGCAGACTTTTAGCATCTATGGACCATGTCAGCAAGCTGTAGGATAAATTGGAGGAGGCACGACTGGAGGCAGGAAGACCTGGAGGAGGCCTGGGCCACCAAAATGGTATTGAAGGTTAAGCTCTGGATGAAGCTCCATCTATGTTCCACATGGCAGGGGGTTAGATTAGACTGGAGGGTGTGGCTCATTTGCATACGACATTTTACTCTAAGAGAAAGGGGAGGGCACCTTTGTTATTCCTTCATCTTGGACCTGTCTCTCTGGAAAAGAGAAGCTTGGGTCCTCTAAAGGCTGTAGGATCAAGCAGATCCTAGGCTACCAAAACAACCTGGTCCCAGGTACAGAGGCAGAGACTCAGAAGACAGGGAAAGAAGGGAATTATGGAGTACTCCTCCCTCCTGCTGGGCCTCCTCCACCCCAAGCACACACTCATGGGCTACCTCAGATCACCTACAATCAGCATGTGCACAAACACTCTCATGAAGACCCTCAAATCCATCCACACATATGCAATCACACTCCCTCTCCCACGGAGATACTCAGGCACACACATACACCCTGCCACGAAGACACTCAGCTCTCTCTCTCATATACACACACACCTAAAGCACAGTCACAGACAAAAAAGATCTCAGTGCCTACATCCGCCCACACCTACACACAGTCACACCTGGACACAGGAAATGTAAGTTCATATATCCAAGAGTCACGTACATATTGCCCACCCCCCACTCCCAAATAAAAAAAGGAAAACACACTAAATCATTCCAACACCCACACAGCTTTTTGCTCACCAGAAGGAGCACATGTTTGCTAATTGGGGGTGGCGTGTCCAGGGGCCGTGGGCACTGGAGTTGTAGAGGGGACTAACAGCCCAGCACAGCCTCCACTCCCTGCCAAGTTTTGTTTTGTTTTGCTTTGTTTTTGACGTGGTTAATGGCATGAAGTCCTGTTTCCATGCAAGAAGCTGGTATGGCTGGTGCAGCTGGGGGGAAGAGTGGGCACAAATCAGGCAGCAAGTACCAGAGACTAAGGGCTGCTGACTTCTCAAAGGGACTTATTATCCTAGAATTGAAGAACAGAGCCAAAGACTTTTTCCACACAAAGCATCTGCAATCAAGGTGCGGTGAGCTGTGCGCTGCAGAGGCCCAGAGCTGAGCCACACAGCCTTGAACCTGGCCAGAGAAGTCCTCAGAGACCCCTCCTCTGACTGTATCTCGGTCAGGCTGTTAGTCCTTGTAGGGCTCCCCAGTCACCCTATGCTAACACTTACTGTATTGGATGATCTGTGAAGGCAGAGACTTCCAGGTCTCCTTTTCTTCCTAGCACCTTACACAAAGTGTCTGGCACATACATAGTAGGTGCTGAAGAAATGTTTCTTCAGTCACTAGATGGATGGGTGAATTGACAAATAATAAGAGAAGAGGCTTCAAGAAGAACATGAGCATGTTGTTATTGAGGAAGAAATTGGTGACTCCAACCTCTCAAAGATCTACCCAGTGGCACCTCTCTACCCTCTGCACCCTCTGCCCTCAGGATCTGGTAGCAGCTGGGAGGCCCGGGACCACCTATGCTGTCTTGGTAGATGTGAGATCCTGTGGCTAAGCAGCGCTGGGGCAACAGAACTGGACCTGTTAGATGCATATGCACTAGAGGTGGTCTGGGGTGATGTGGAGGGGTAGTGGGTGGAAGAAATCCTGGGGAAGTGCTTTGTACATAGGTGAAAAAGAGCAGGTATGGAGGAGAGGCAGAGCTGTGAATAATATGAAGCCCTTTCAAGCACTGTCTACTTCCCAGGGTAGTCGAGGGGGTGAGGGGAGGCAAGTTGGCAATTTCTCCTGGAAGCCAAAGCCCCCAAGAGCATCTTACTCAATACTAAGTTCCTTACACTTCATTGTAACTCTTTCCCCCAAAATATCCACCCACTTTTCTTCCCACCTGCTTCTGCTCATGCTGTTCCCTCTTCCTGGAATATCCTTTCTCTGCTTCTTTCTCTGCCTATTGGCTTCCTACCCATGCCCCAAATCCCCCCTCAAATGCCATGTCCAACTGTGATGCCCTTCCAGGTAGCCACAGTTATTTGATTTGTGGGGCCCTGAAGGCATCCCTGCCTTCCCCAGATGGAGAGCTCCTAGAAGGCAAAGGGAGACATGACCCATTTCTCAGTCCCAGCACCCAGTCTGGTGAGTAATCCAGAGCAGGGTCTGCAAAGGCAGACTGTAACACACACACTGGCTTTTCCTCTCCCCAGGAGAAAGCTGAAGCCTCAACTCCAGCCTAGCCAAGATGGGCAGCAGTCATAGCAGCCGTGTCCTGCCCATTAGGTGACCAACCTTCCAAGTGGCTTCTCCTTGCAAGGGCTCCTTCCCTTCTGCCCAAGCCCTCATGGCCTCAATATAAGGAGTCTAGCACCCCAGCTCTGGGCTACACTAAGGCCAAAGGAGGGAGGGAGCACCTCAATGAGGACTCTGCTGATAGCAGATGTGTTACACGAACAGAGGCTGGGGGGACAGGAGAGCAGCCTGTGGGAGAAACCAAGACGAGACCACAGCACCCTCAGTCAGACAGATGGGGGGAGGCCAAGCCAAGTACCCCAGTCTTCCCTTCTCTCCTCACCCTTGTAGCTGCTTCCATCTCCCCACCTCTTCTTTGCCAGCAGCTTGGCAAAGGCCAGGCGCCTTGGAAACCTCTAATACTGTTGTAATGAGCCTGGGAGGAGTCCTCTTGGGTACACCAAGGTCTGCTCTTTTACCCAAAACTTGTCTCTTACTGAGGTGGCAGTTGCCTTAGTAGAAACTGCTTTTATTGGTATTAGGTACTATTGAGTCGGTTTCAACTCACAGAACCCATCCTCACAATAATTGCTGTGTTTAATTGTTGCACCACTGTGTCGATCCATCTCACTCAGGGCCTTCCTCGTTGGCACTGACCCTCTACTTTACCAAGCATGATGTCCAAGAAAGGACAGTAAAAGCAGACTCCCAATAAAGGCGATTGTTGTTAAGTGCCTTTGGGTCCATTCCAACTCATAGCAACCCTGTACAGGGTTTCCAAGGAGTGGCTGGTAGGTTTGAGCCACCGACCTTTCATTTAGCAGTTCAGTGCTTATCCTACAGTGCTACAGCAGGACTCCATAGTGGCAGTTAGGGGGCACTTCCACTTCTGTTCCTCGGACAGGACAGATTGGGGGCAGTGGTGATTCTGTGGGAGAGTTCACACCTTCCATGTAGGAGACCTGGGTCCTGGCCCCAGCCAATGAGCTTCATGCCCAGCCACCACCTGTCTGTCAGGGGAGAATTGTGTGTTGCTATGCTCTGGTAGCGTAGTGGTTACGAATCGGGCTGCGAACCTTAAGGTCAGCGGTTTGAAACTACCAGCTGCTCCGCGGGAGAAAGATGAGGCTTTCTACTCCCGTAAGGATTTACACCCTAGGAAACCCTGTACAGGGTCGCTATGTGTCGGAACCGACTCGACGGCACTTAACAGCAACATGCCACTCTTCAAGGAACTCTGGTAGCGTAGTGGTTACGAATCGGGCTGTGAACCTTAAAGGTCAGCGGTTCGAAACTACCAGCTGCTCCACGGGAGAAAGATGAGGCTTTCTACTCCAGTAAAGATTTACACCCTTGGAAACCCTGTACAGGGTCGCTATGGGTCGGAACCGACTCGACGGCACTTAACAGCAACATGCCACTCTTCAAGGAACTCTGGTAGCGTAGTGGTTACGAATCGGGCTGTGAACCTTAAAGGTCAGCGGTTCGAAACTACCAGCTGCTCCACGGGAGAAAGATGAGGCTTTCTACTCCAGTAAAGATTTACACCCTTGGAAACCCTGTACAGGGTCGCTATGGGTCGGAACCGACTCGACGGCACTTAACAACAACAACAACAATGCCACTCTTCAGAAACCCTATACAGGGTTGCTAGAAGTCAGAACTGACTCGACAGCACACAACAACAGTATGATGCTAAGCATGTTTGGGTGGTGCTTCCAGACTAAGAGACTGGGAAGAAATGCCTGGCAACTCACTTTTGAAAATCAGTTGATGAAAACCCTATTTGTTACAATCGTCCAAGCCCCAATTGATCATGGGATGGCATTTCTTTCCAGGGTGCTGGGGACTGGCATGAGTCAGGGGCCAAAACCTCCATGCTGGAGGGGAGACTGGTAGAGTGACAGAACCTCATCCCATGGAAGTCACAGTCAACCCCAGTCCAACATAACATCTAACCCACTGCCATCCAGGAAGTTCTGGATCATAGCAACCCTACAGGACAGAATAGATGCCAAGGCGGAAATCTTTGGGGAAGCAGACTCTTCCATCTTTCTCCTATGGAGAGGCTGGTGGGTTCGAACATCAGGCGGTTTGGTTTTAACCACTGCGCCACCAGGACTCCTCAACCCCAGCCAGTGGAGCAGAAACTCAGTGAAGCCACTGGGGGCAACTGAAGGCAACTTCTGTGCCAACTTCACCCCTAAATCTGGCTTGAGCTTAGTGTCCTTCCATGCAGCCTCATCCCATGGGCCTCCTCGCCTCAAGACCCTTAGCCCCAGCCACCCAAATCTCTGCCTGGGTTTCCTACACTGTCTCTATTCATCAGTGTCTCTCTGTCACTTCCCACCTCACTTTATTTATGCCCTCTCCAGACACTGCTGTCCTTGATCCACTCTCCAACCCATCTGAGGGTGGTCCTAAAAAAGAGGCAAGGTCAAAGTTGAGCCATGGGGAGTGAGGGTCCATGTGGGCTTTTACACTTTGTGTCACGTTACTAACTAGGTAGGTCAACGACTTCATCCTGCTCGCTCAGGTGTGGGAGATGCTCCAGACTCCTCCCACACCCCCTTTTCCTATCACTTTAACAGCCTGCTGCTACCCTAATACACACACGCACACACACACACACAGTCTCCAGCCACAGCTCCCTCCCATGCTCTCCCCACAGCCACCTGGACAGGCTCTTACCAAGATGACAGCAACCACAGCTCGGGCCTCCTTGTCCACCAGCGGTATTACCAGCACTGAGGGGGGAGAGGGCAATGAGGTAGTCCTGCAGGGCCAGCAAGGCTCAGGGATACTGAGCCAAACCCAAGGAGGGAGACAAAGACACAGACAGAGAGAGGCTGGGACAGAGGCACAGTGAGACCCAGAGACCCAGAGACACAGAGAGAGGGCTTCTGAGACAGCAACAAAAACAGTCTTAGCAACAATCCCTGCATAGAGGAGAACCCCCTTCACTTGACAACTTTCTCATGCTCCTCCCAGCAGCCCTGCGAGGGAGGGAAGCAGGTCAGGCTGAGCACTCCTATGATACAGATTAGGAAACTGAGGTCCAGAAAGGGGAAGTGACTTGCCCAAGATCACACAGCAAGTCAGGTCTCCTGACTCCCAGTCTTGTGCACTTTCCACATCGAGACAGAGGACAGAGACCTAGAGAGACTGAGACACGAGGCAGAGAAAGACATGGCGGACAGGGGAGCATGGAGAGGAAGAGAGAGAAAAACAAAGACGGTGACAGAAAGCATGCCAACTACAATCCTGTCTAGCAACTGGCACAACTGGTAACCATGGTCATTGGTCACTGAATCCTAGTATTTACCAAGCCCGTAACAATCCTTATCTCATTTCTTCCTCCTTGGGGCAGCCCCTCAAGGTAGCTACTATTGTTCCCATTTTATAGATCAGAAAACTGAGGCTGAGAGAAGTTAGTAGCACAACAGAGAGAGAATTAGATGGAGGGATAGCTAGATACATGGGGCAACAGAAGAAGGAGATAAAAAGATGAAGACAGGGAAAAGACAGACATGACCTAGGGATCGAGTCCACAATCCCTCCCTGCCCCTGCCCAGTTTCCAGCCCTTACCCCCTTACCTTGGGTGTCGGGGGCCAGTGGAGCCACCAATCTGGCCAAGGGCTTCCCTGGCAAGTCGGAGGGGCCCAATCCATTGCATCCCAGCCGTTTCCGGGAGATCACAGCTTCTCTGAAAAGAGGACATGACCCCACCTGTCAATCCTTGAAGCAAAGAAGAGAGACCCCAGCTGGGGGACACATAGTTTCTCAGACCTTGCACATCTGGAAGGGTCTGAGCAAGCTCACCTGCTGCAGGGTGGACAAGGGAGCAGTGGCCACAGCCTGGCCTTTTTTTTTTTTTTTCAGGCAGCAAATATAGGAAAGGCACTTGCAGGGCCCACTTAGAGCCCCAGTGAGAGCAGAGCAGGTAGTAACAAGGGCTAAGCTCTTGAACTGCCCATGTTAAAGCCTGCCTGCCATCACTCCTGAGCCTTTCAGAGAGCACTAGGGTAGGGGAGAGTTGAATCCTAACTACCACCATCCTCAATACACAATTATAGAACAGTTCTTGGTGCTTAGGCACAGGAGGGGAACTTCCAGAGATTATCTTCATAACTGAAGGGCTTGAGCCATTTCCTATGTTCACATACTGTTCAAGCAACTTACATAGATTAATTCAGAAGTCCCATCAAACCTATGAATTGGATAGTATCATCATCTCTGTTTTCAGAGTGGCACTGTAGGATCAGTTAGTTCAAATCCACCAGTTGATCCTTGGAAACCCTATACAGGTTCACTATGAGTAGGAACTGACTCGACAGCACTTAACAACAGGGCACAGAGAGGTTAACCTATCCAAAGTCACATAGCTAATTAGTAGTACAGCCAGAATTTGAACCCAGGCAGTTGGCACCAGAGCCCATACTCTTCACCACTAAGCCTGAACCTTCCCAAAGAACAGAAGAAGACTTGAACAGGGCACTGGTAGGAATGCCAAGGAGGCAAAAGGCATGTGTGTAATGGTGGGGAGGGGAGTGGGTACTGAGGCAGGGTGGCTTAGAGTCGAAGAATGTGTTTTTCTCTGCCCCTACCACACATACCCTCAACCACAATCTCTTGTCTTCCTGTTTAATTATGTGCCTGAGTTTCCACCAAATGTCATTCCCCGATGATTAATTCTCCTGGGCCCTTCATCACTCATGTTGCCTCCACTTAATTGGGTTTGTAGAAACTCCTAGCCTGTACAAAAGGGGCTTTTGTGGGGGTGTGGGCTGGGAAATCATTGTGTTTCTATGAGATTCTGCACAGCAAAGTTAGATGAAAAAGAGAGGGAATGGCCTGCAAATCTCTAAATTAGGAGGTCACATTCACTAGAGAAACAGAGGACCAAGGAGGTTGAGCATCTCACTCAAGGTCACACAGCATTATGAATCAGACCTGCTCATTTCCAGCTCCTTCCATCAGTTCAGAATCTATAAGAACCAGTGGTACTCCCCCTGGCCCCCCTTCCGCACACACACACCTTTCAACACTTACACACTGGACCGTCAAAGCTCCTGGAACACTGGGCTTCTGTTCTGCATTGTCTCTACTGTGCCAGTCATCCCAGGAAGGGACAGGTATCTAGGAAGGCAACAGGAGCCACATTTCCTGATGACTACATTGGTGAAACTGAGGCTTCATGGAAGCAGCGGCTGGCCTAGGTGATCCTCCGCCAAACCCCCTTCATGTGGATTCCTTCCAGACATTTGGCCTCAGATGATCTGGGTAATAGGAAGTCACAAGGTGGCGTTGGTCCCTGGCTGCTCACCAGAAAGCACTGTAACCTCATCCCATTGACCCCTGACTCCGGGCTCACCATCCTCTAGACCTTCAGGGGCACCTTAAAGAAAGAATTTGTCCTTAGACTTTGTTTTTTTCTGTACAGCACTTTCTTCTCTGTGCTCATGGCATCATGATTCTCCAGTCCCCGTTCTTGTGAGCTCCAAACCCCAAATACCCAAGGTTGCCTGGAAGCCTCCCGTGGATGTCACTGAGACATCCCAAAGGCAACCCATGCCATTCAGAGCTTATTGTCCCTACCAAACCCACAGTGTCAAACCATCCACCTGGTCCCTTTCAGCTTGTCCCTAAACTGTCCTACATGCTTCCCTAATTCTCACCTCCCCATCCTTTGGTTGAGTCACCTTCTTTGTGTCTCTCACCCTGCCTCCTGCCTCCTGTCCTGGGTCCCTTGAATCCATCCTCCATACCAGAGCAAGAAGAAGTTTTCTATTCAAAAGTCCCTATGGGAACATCCTGTTTTTAAAAGTCTTTCCTTCCACAGAGGGTCAAATTCTGTACTGAGAGCTGAAGATGAGAAGATGAGTTGGATACATGTAGCCAGGGACTGTCTTACAAACCCATGCTGGAGTCAGGGATGAGAGCTCTGCCAACAAGAACAGACTCTAGCCTAACCCTGTGCAGGTGGGGAGTGGAGTCAGAGATGGCTTCCTGGAAAAGGTAGTGTCTGAGTTGAGTCCAGAAGGACATGCAAAGATCGTGGAGGCCAACAGGAAAGGATGTACAGGCAAAGGAAGCTGCCTGTTCAAAGGCTCAGAAGACAGAAAGTATATGTGTCTGCTGGAAGGCCCAGACACACGGAGGCTGGTATGACTGAAGAGCAGACTGAAAGGCTGGAGAGGGGCCAGGTGCCCAAGGAGCTGGGCTTGATCCTGAGGGCAGTGGGAAGCCAGGAGGGACTGGCAGAGAAAGTAATGGGTGAACTCTCAATCACTGTTGTTGTTGTTGTTATTAAGTGCCATCAGGTCAGTTCCATCTCATAGTGACCTTGTATAGTTTCTAAAGAGCAGCTGGTGAATTTGAACCACCGACCTTGTGGTTCAAACTGACCTTGTGGTCCAGTGCATTATCCCACAGCGCCACAGGATGCTCACGAGAGAGAACTTTGAGACAGGAAATCCACACCTTTTTTAAATTTTGTTTTTGCATTTGCAGGGTCTGGGGTACAGTGCAAGCCCTGAAGGATGCTCCCCTCTTGTTTTCTGAGGTCTCAGTGGTTCCTGGACCAAGGAGGGACTGGGCTGGGCCAGATCAATTTTAACTGGACTTAGGACTCTAAAGATTCTCAACCCTCAAGAAGTTCCTTATCTTGGCACCTTGCTCTACAACCAGTCCTTCCTAGGTCCTGTCATATCCCACAGCCCTGGGCAGGAATGTGCCAGGCAATTCTCACTTCTTCCCCCACCCAGCTCCTTCCCTCCCTCACCCTGACCTTCCCCAAAGTTCTGTCCCCCTGGAGGCTTGTAAATGTCCACAGGAGGCAGCTGGTGCCAAGGCTGAGCTTCCTCAGCCAGATAAGAGTGGGGGCTTTGTCTGTTGCTCAGGCCCCCTGATGTTTGTCCCCTCAATTTAGAGCCCTTCTCTGCCTCCTCCCCTCTCTCTCCATTTTCCAGGCCTGTGCCCCACCTTCCAGGCTGGTGCTTGGAGGGATAGGGGCCACACCCCAGAACCAGCTGTCCCTGCTGAAGGCTAATGATTTAGCCCCAGGTGCCTGGGTGGTCATGGTCTGCCCCACTGAAAATAAAGACAGATGGGCAGAGAGCAAAGACAGGAATGGGTGCGGATTTTATGATGGTTTTGTGCCTTTAACAACTATTTGTTTAGTGGAAAAAGGGTGGAGAGGAAAGCTGTCTGTATTAAGGGTGGTGGCCTGAAAGGAGCTAAGTGCCCAGGCCTCCATACAGGTCTCTGAGCCCCAGTACCCTTATCTAATACCCATCGTTGGTATGGCCCATCTCCTTTACTGAGACCTACCCCCACTGAGCCCCTACCTCTTCATGGAACACCACCCCTAACTGAGCCTCCGCCCCATCATTGACCCCCACTCCCCCTCACTGAGCCCTCATCTCCCTCACTGAGCCCACATCTCCCTCACTGAGCCCTCATCTCCCTCACTGAGCCCCCTCTCCCTTCACTGAGCCTCATTCTTCTCACTGAGTCTTCATCCCTTTCACTGAGCCCTCATCCCCCTCATTAAGCCCTCATCCTCTCACTGAGCCCTCATCCCAGTTGCTGAGCTTCAATCCCTGTCACTGAGCCCCATCTTCCTCACAGAGCCCCATTCCCTCACTGAGCCCTCATTCCTCTCACTGAGCCCTCATTCCTCTCACTGAGCCCTGATCCCTCTCACTGAGCTCTGTTCCCCTCATTGAGCCTCAGTCCCTCTCTGACCTATCATCTATTAGAGAGAGACTTGTACCCTCCTCTCTCTCTCTCTCCCAGATTGTGAGAATTCAGACCTGGCAACAGACTATTCCCTGAACTCCCTGAGGCAAATCAGCTAAACAGATATACATTGCAGGGAGAGGAAACCAGGTCAGCTTTAAGGATGAACTTTCTCAAAGTTGGGACCCCCAAGTGATAGCTGAGGTGACACCCAGCTGAGCTGGTGGAGGCATCGACTCAGTTGTAGCTGATAGGCCTGCACTTTTGCTGCTCTCACAGCAAATATTCAGAGACTTTAAGATATCAGAAGGCACAATAAGAAGAAGTTGGCAGAGCTGGGATAGAAATAGGCTGGAAGAGCCGGGTGGGAGCACCACCAGAAGGGAGGTAATGACTTCCAGAAAGCCAGCTTTCCCAAATTCTCGGCAGTCCTGAGGCCAATTTTCAACCCTTAGAATTCAGAGTCCTCAGGCATCAGAATGTTCAACATTATCACTGTATAGAAGGGTAAATGGAGGCGCAGAAGTATTGGCATGGGATTGGGATGTGGCCTTGCTATGTTAGATCCCAGGTCTCCTTCCCACCCACTCTGCATAATCTCAAAGGCTGCAGGCAGCAGGGTAATTTGTGAGTAGACCCATCCTTGCCCAGACTCCTGTTCTGAAAATTGGAGCCTCCTTGGATACAGAGAAGGGGAGCTTTCTACCTGTGGATCAGGGTCAGGTTTCCGGAGAGGGTTTCTAGCTGGGCCCACAAAGATAAGTAAAATGTGGATTGACTGAGACCAAGATGGAGCAGGACAGGACTTTGCAGGGGAAGAAGCAGCATGAGCCTACACAAGGAAGCAGCAAAGTCTAACATATGTTTGGGGGAGAAAGTAGGCATCTGAGAGCTGGGGAACTGGTGGGGGGCAATGGTAGGTGGGGCCTCCTCACTCCTACCTTGGCTCTTCTCTACCCTCTTTTCTTAGCCCATCCTTTGTCCCTTCCCCTTGGACCTTATCTGTCTTTAAGATCAGACTTCATGGACCTTATCCAGAGAAGCAGCCACACCACAGATGGAGACAGAAATGAGGACATGGAGAGTGGGAGCAGCTGAGGACTCTGGACTCAGGAAAAGAGAGGGATTGAGTGCTGGTGGCCAGGAGGCAGACTTGTAGAATGTGCCCTTGGATTGTTTAAATGATTATATATTCCTGAGTGTTTATGTGTACATCCCCCCCACCAAAACAAACAAACAAACAAACAAACAGAGGGACTGGAAGCAAATACTGTTGAATGATGATGCACAGAGGAGACTGTAATCATTGCAATGAAACGATGGTGCAAAGCTGATATTCTCCCATGTAAACTATCACTCAGTTCACAATAAAAACTTAAAAAAAAAAGATAAATTTTCATATTGAAAATGATCTGTGGCAGTTTTAAGATGATAAGTACCAAATATCCTAGCTATTTCAACCTAATATTTCAAGCTTTGTATCTGCTATTTTCAAAGTTTTGTTTATGCTGCCTGTACCCACTTGAAGGGAGTTTCCCACATAGAGTTCTTATGATTGGTTGTGAATGAAAAAAAAAGATCAGACTTCACTTCACACATGCTGCTTTGGGCCAGTCCTTTTAGCACACACCAGGCACTGCCAGAGCCTCAGACTCCACTTCAGGCTTGGGACAGGTGTCTCCACCACTAATGGGTCCAGAGCCACAGATCACCATTAGGAAGACCCAGCAAACAATACCACAGGTTTTATACAAAGGGAGAAGGAGGTCAAAAAGATGGTCGTTTTCTCAAGGTTGCCCAATGAGAGAATCATGTTAAGACTTGGGGGGTGGGAGCAACTAGTAACCACTGAGCTCCTACTATGTGCTAAGCACTTGGCATGTATTAGCTCACTAAACCATCATGATGGTGTTGTTAGGTGCTGTCAAGGGTATTTTTACAGGAGCAGATATCTAGGTCCTTCACCCTGGAGTTGGGTGGGTTCAAACAACCAACCTTTTGGTTATCAGTAAAGTGCTTAGCCTTTGTACCACTAGGGACCCATTAAACCATCATAGCCATCAGATAGACAGGCTCTGTCTGGTCTCCAATCTAGTGCTCTTGCCTCTTTCACATACCTAAGTCTCATGCTCTGATCCTTCTTGGAGCTCCCAAGAGCAGAGCTCAGACACCCCAGAGGCCCATATCCCTAGCTGTAAGATGTGGACTCACTACCAGACACCGGATGGACAGGGCAGACTGGCTCCACCCCTAATTCTTGGGGCCTGAGTAGACTTTGATCTCTGTGTGTCCCCTGGGACACCCCCCTGCCCTCACCCTGGAAGCTCCCTTTCCCTCTTTCAGCCTCCTGGAATCTCTGAGTCCTATTTCCCAGCAGGCACTTTGCTCCCCATTGCCACTGTGCTCTAGGCTAATTGCATTTGAGCATTCACTTTTAATTGCCTTTTTTGTGCCTTTTCCAAAGGCTTTCCTGAGTCTGAAGAGGCTGGGGGCGGGGAAAATGCTGAAAGGGCTGTTGATGTCTCAACCGCACCCTCTCTCTGCTTGCAGCAGACAGCATGGCAGGAGCATTTGCAGGGGCTGAAGAAGCAGCCAACCCTGAAGGATGCTCTCCTCCTGCTTTCTGAATTGTCATCCTGCATCCCTGCCCCAGGAAGACCTCTCTAGGCTATATCGGGGAACCATCCTCATATTAAGCTAAGTTCTTTATAGAATTAAGGATGATGAATACAGGGTTGAGGAGGAAAAGGGACATCACAACATTTCTTCCTTAGGATCCTGGAACCTGCCAGCACTATCCCACCATTTTACAGATGGGACAGGGAAGGCCGGAGTAGGGCAGTGACTAGCTTGGCTCACATAGTCCTTGCAAGGAAGAAATGCCAGGAGATGCTGAAAGGAAAAGTGTCACCACCCACACACTTGCACAAGGAATCAAGTGGGAAAACAGGAGGCAGGAGGGCTCTAAGCTATCAGAGAGGCACCAAGAATTTCCATGGAGAACAGCAGGGGTTGGGGAACAGCGTCTTAGAATCTAGAGAATGTTCCAGAAATGGCCCAGCATCTCTAAGCAGGAATCTTTCCATGGATAGTTTCTGTGGAAGGTGAGTGTCTCCTCCACAACCTAAATTGTTATTGTACTTGAGACCATTCTAATTTATAGCGACCTCGTGTGTTACAGAATAGAACGGCTCCTTGGAACACCCTCGGAAACCCTGTACAGGGTCGCTATGGGTCGGACCCGACTCGATGGCACTTAACAACAACAACAACAACAACCTTTATGGAAGCAGTTGTTGTTGTTAAGTGCCGCCGAGTCGGTTCCGACTCATAGCAACCCTGTATAGGGTTTCCAAGGAGCAGGTGGTGAGCTTGAACCACCGACCTTGCAGTCAATGGCTTTGTAGTCTGGCGCATTAACCCACAGCGCCACACCTTATGGAAGCAGATCACCAGGTATTTCTCCCATAGAGCCACGGAGTGAATTTGAACCACTAACCTTTTGGTTAACAACTGAGCACTTAGCTGTTGTGCTACCAGGGCTCCTTTATCCTCAACTTGTTGTTGTTGTTAGGTGCCATCAAGTCAGTACTGACTCATAGCAACCTTATGCACAGCAGAACGAAATACTGCCCAATCCTGGGCCAACGTCACTATTGTTGCCACGATTGAGCCAACTGATGCTGCCACTTGGCCAATCCATCTCGTTGGGGGTCTTCCTTCCTCTTTTTCTCTGACCCTCCACCTTACCAAACATGATATCCTTCTCCAGCGACTGGTCCCTCCTGAAGATATATCCAAAGTATGAGAGATGAAGTTTGGCCAGTCAGGCCTCCAAGGAGCACTCTGGCTGCACTTCTCCCAACACAGATCTGTTGGTTCTTTTGGCAGCCCATGGCACTTTCAATATTCATATCACTGGACTGCCTTGGATCACCACCCTGATATTCACTGTGCCCTCATGCCCAGTCTCAGCACTCTCTTACGTGCTGAGAAGGTAATGGTCATTTCTTCCAAAGCTGACCCTCCTTCTGACCAGTATTCCTACACTTCAACACTTTGTCATCTAACAAGTTTCATTTTTCCTCACTGTCCCTCTGAGTGACCAGGAGCCAGGAGACCTGTGACCCAAACCTGGCTCTGCCTCACACAAGCTATGTGATTTTGAACACATCACATGATGTTTACCCATCAAGAAAATGAAGAGTCTAAATTGAATGGGTTTGAAGGTATCAAGGGGCAATAGGGTGCTGAGTCCATGATATTAAGAGCGAGGATTCAGACATTCTATCATAATCAGAATACCAAACATTTGTTAAGATTTTGTGGATCAAGCTTGGCTTCCGACTTCTTGTGTGCCATAGCACTTGCCAACTCATAGTAAGCCTATACAGCAGCGTAGAACTGCCCCATAGGGTTTCCTAGGCTGTAATTCTTGTGGGTAATAATGAGTTACAGCTTAGGAAACTATAGGCTAGTTATTCTCTGTCCTGTAAGGTTGCTATGACTCACAATCGACTCGATGAAAATGGACTTGGTTTTGGGTTTGAATATTTATGAGAGCAGATTTCCACGTTTTTTCCCCAGTGGAGTGACTGATGATTTTGAACCACTGACCTCTGGGTTAGCAGCTGAGCACTTAATCACTGCACCACCAGGGCTCCTACTAACACAATTTGTTGTTGGTAAGTGCCATTGAGTCATTTCTGACTCATAGAGACCCTATGTGGGGTTTCCGAGGAGCAGTTGGTGAGTTTGAATCTCCGACCTTACAGTTCAAACCGACCTTGTGGTCCAGTGATTATCTACAGCACCACGCCAGGACTCCGCTAAAACATCTAGATAACACTTATCATGGATCAGGCCCTGTTTCAAGTACTTTATGTGTTAGACTCCTTGACTATTTCCAACAACCCTATGTTGTTGTGAAGTGCCAGCCAAGTCGGTTCAACAACCCTAAGAGATAAGTACTATTATCATCACTGCTTACAAATAAGAAAACGAAGGCTCAGAGAGGTTAGAGAACTTGCCCAAGTCTAGACAGCTAGTAAATAGGGAGCCTGTACTTGAACCCAAGTCAGGCATTAGAACACACAGCAGGACACAGTCTGTGGTTTCCCTGTTCTCAGACACAAGGACATGGACACTGGGTTCCTACAGTCCCGAATTCTGTGACTCAGAGCACAGCCTCACAGACAGTTCTCAGAGCTTGCTGGAGTCTAACTGATAAACACTGTAGCTCCAATACTTTGAGACTCTGTTTTCTGAGGAAGGGGCTGCAACAATTTAGAAGACCTAGGAGGAGAAAATCTACCAGTTGGCACTTTTCCGATGCCAGTCCACTTCCCCAACATGAGGAAAGACCTGGCTTTGCTTCTCTCTCCCATGCTTGCGGTCTGCTATTGGGCCAAGGCACAGCCCCCTGGCAGGGGTGCTGGAGGGTGACCCAGACCTGACCATGCTTGACCGTTCCAGAGGACAATGGCGATGAGGAGAATGGCTTACCGAACTTTCCCCTCCTGGAGCAGCTCGTGCGGAGGGTCCTCACACACCAGCCGGGACTCCCTGTCCAGCAGGTAGGTGTACACAGTCTCCTAGGACAGAAGACACTCGTGAGAATCTATAGGAAGACCCTCCCAGCCTGTAGACACGTGTCTGTGTGGTGAGGTCATCAGACCTTCTGGGAACAGGACTCAGGTGTATTTGTCTGTATGGTTTTACTCTCAGGTGGTTCTAATGTGAAGGCTAGAAACCGCCTTATGATTGGAGCACAGTCCCTCTCCTCTTGGAAGAAGTTGGGCACAGACAATGATTCAAGAACCTTTTGGCTTTCCTTACCTATCCTCCGAATCCAAGGTGCTGCAAAGGGTCCAAAGGGCTGAGGGGTGGACCCAACCTCCACTCCCCCGTCCCCAGGATATTTTCCTGCTGTGGCTCCAATCTCAGGCATTCAGCATCTACTTAAGGCCAGCATTTGGGCTCAGAATGCCCTGGAAGCTTACCGCCTCCATGCAGGAAAACAGACACCTCTCTGAGAAACCATACCTCTCTGACCTGAGCCAGGGCATTACAGCTATCCTTGCCTGGAAGGGCTTCCTGGAGGAAGTGGCCTTTAAGCTGTAAGTGGAGTGGGTATTGGATACATTCAGGCAGGAGGCAGGATACAGAAGAATGGCTTCAGGATTGAACAGCATGTGTGTAGCTTGAAAGGTGTAAAGGGAATGAACACGAGCAATTCTGAAACTGACAAGGGTGGTGTGGGGTGGTGCTGGGGGTCAGCAGGGCCTGAACTGGCAGGACGCTATATGCTGAGCTGGGGAAGGATGACAGGGCTGCTGACGGGCAGTGAGCTGGGAGAGACATGAGCAGATTTGTATTTTGGAATGACTGCTCCCCAGAGTAGGATCAAAGCTCTGCTCAAAGCTTGTCAAGTCTTCAGCTCAATTTGCCCTCCCCGAGGGCCCAGAGCAGGCTCAGGCCTCACTTCTGGACCATGTCTTGGCAGAAGTAGTTGCCCTCACTGACCCATAGGCCAAAATCCACATTCCCTCCAAGTAAGATTCACTACCCTTAGGAAGCCACAGCCCAGCGCAGATCAGCACAGCCTTCCTGAGTGTCTCCACTGCCAACACTGTGCCTGACTAGGCAAGGTGGACACACGAGTCCCTGTGTGGAGGAGGAGTACACTCCAGTGAGGGAGGCATCCTCATGCTGAGGCAAGTGTCTAGAAAAGGGTGAGGGCAGGAAGGACCGAGGAGGGTTCTTCTCCCTGCTGACGGGAGCTCAGGGAGGGTTTCATTGGAAGGTGACATTAAAGCTGGGGGGAATTCTCAGCCAAAGTGACTTTGAGAGTCCACAACCTGCCCAGTAGCCCCTGTTGCCCTGGGAGCCCACAGCCAGCCCCCAGGAAGTGTCCCAGCCACAATTTCCAGGGACACAGAGCAAGGCTTTGTGAAGTGGGGTGGGAATGAATGGGCCTGAGGTGGGTAAGGGATAAGTTCTGAAGTCCCCTTGTCCTCTAGGATGAGGGTCAAGGTGGGGCATTCAAGGGTGAAAGAATCAGTAGGAAGGAGGCTGCCCACTCCTAAACTATATCCAGCCTCCTTCTTGTCATCTGACCCTGAAGCCTGGGAGGGGCCTGAGGGATTTGACCCAAAAGGATCATCTAGAGGCACACCTGGCAAAGAGGGGTGGATAATCTGAGGAGGGGTGAGGGGCACAGAGCCTCACTTCCGGGATGTCTTCTGTCTCCCACCCCCTCACTCTCGGCCCTCTGGGTTAAAATTAGCCAAGTTTATTGGAGAGAGGGAGGGAACCATTTCATACACATCAGCACCATCTGTATTCGGGGCTGCCTGCCACAATGGATGCTGATGAGGAAGCCAGGTGCCAGCTCCTCACCCCTCTCTGGGGGGTAGGCAGGCCCCTCCTCCACTTCCCTGGCCCTCCCTAGGGTTAGAGCAGATCCTTCAGCTCTCTCCCCACCCAGAGGCTCCCCTTCCCTCCCCTCCCCTGCCCAGGTCAGGGTTTTGTTAGGTCATGCAGGTCTCTTGGGTGGGCAAGCAGACATTTCCCACTGTCCTATGAACCCAGTGGCCTCAGCCTCAGATTTCTTCCAAGCCCCTAGATTTGGGAGACAATTAATCCAATGCAAGGTCTCTGTGCTGTGAAGACTGACACAGTCTTCCCAGTATTCCCATCCTCCCTTTCCAGATGTGCCCCCATCCTGGGCCAGATGTTGCCTCAGTCCCAACCCTCTCCGGGAGGATTTATTTTGGGTGCCAACACACCACCCACTTCCTACCAATTTCACGCTCAATAAAGCTTGCTCATTAGCCTTCCTCATGGGTTCTGAACTTCTAGGAGGTTTTGGGAAGGCAGACCTGGGGAGATAGAATGGGGGTGCATAGGTGCATAGCTCCATTTGTTTGTCATGCTGTGTGACCTTGGGTGAAGCACCTTCCCTCTCTGTGGTTCGTTCATCAAGTGGGTCCAGAGATGAGGGGCCCTGGCAGGAAGGGGGTCATATTCTGAAATTGCTGTGTTTCCTGGAGCAGAGGCTGCCCTTGGCTGGTGTCTAGAGTAGGAAAGAGGACATCCCAGGATATGGGGACTCTATGTCCCTTAGGCTGGGTCAGACCCCTCTCCCTAGGCTCTTTGTGTCTCAAAGGCCATTATCTATCCTCTTCCCAGTGAGGCTAGGGTAGGGAATGGCCTGGAGCCGCTAGAAGGGGCAAAGTACCCCAGCTCAGTTAACAATGCTCGCCACCTTTCACCTAGCCCAAACCTGTGACCTCATCCAGAGTATCTGACCTCTTCCAGACAGAAGCTTAAACATTGCTAGAGATCATCTTGTCCAGCCTCCAGGCAGAACACTTTAACCCAGTGTGCAGACCCATTCATCAGGGATGCGCCTGTTACAGCACAGTCCAGATTTTTCATAAACAGTAAGTTCTTCTACATGTCTATCCTCCATCCTTCCTGCTGCACAGATTCCAAAACTTCCTGACTCCACCTTGTCCTAGATGAATTCTTTCTATTTCTAAGACATGATTTTTGCAAACATTATGTTTGGCCCAGACATTCCAAGATTCCTGTGTAAGTTCATTCTTTGAGACTTAGCTTAATTCCTCTTCCTCCAGGAAGCACTCTCAGAACATCTACCCAAACCCTTCCCTTCCCTATGAGATCCCTCTGTACAGGAACCCTATCTGTTCTTTCTTTCTCAAGCCTATGTGAGGCCCAGCTCTATACAAGGTTTGGTTGAAGTGTGGAGCAAGAGTGAGCACCTACCACTCTGGGCAGCACGGCTGAGAGGGCCTCCTTGATGGCCCGATGCAGGCCCGCAATGTCGATGACGGAGCCTAGGCTCAGCAGAGCATCCTGGAAAAGAGGAAAGGGCAATAAGGGCGTCAGCAGGTAGACCAGAGAAGCCCAGGGCAGCCCAATCTGCCTAGAGGGCCGTAAGCATAAACCCTGCGGCTCAGATCCAGACACCAAGGTTGTCAGATGCTCAAACACTGTGTGCTCTTAGGTTCTCAGAATCAGTTTCAATGCCATAGAATGTTCAAGTTGGATGAGCATCTTCCAGTCCAGTCTCCTCATCTTACAAAGGCATATGGTGGCATGGTAGATAAAGCACAAGCCCTCACATTGAAACAAAGGCAGCAAACCGAAATCAAACAAACAAAGGTGAATCCTAGCTCCATTGCTTATTGGCTATGTATGTCTTGGGCTAGATATGAAACATCAGTCAGTCTTCTTATTTGTAAATTGGGGACAACTGAGACTGACATGAAAACAAGATGAAATAAAAGTACCTTATGGAGCAGGTGGTCAGATGAATGTTCGCTGATGTTGGGCCCCAGCTTTCCCCAGAAGGGAGGAGGTCTCACCCTGTTTAACTTTTCAACCTAGTGAGGGGCTATTCTGGGAGTAGCAAGTCTACAAGGTCTATGAGCCCACGAGGTGGGGAAAATACATGTGGGCCAGCCCTGGAAACTATAGGAAAGGCAGGAAAAGCCAGCCTTGACCGCCTCACAGCCTTTCCCTCCCAGGAACAGGCCTCGTCCTTGAAGGGCCGGAACAGAGACAACAAAGGTCTCCGTTTCGTGCTCTATTAATTTGGCCAGAGCCAGAGGGATCAAAGAGAAAGGGAACGGAACAGATGATCCAGAGCCAAGGCAGTATCGTGACTCACTCCGTCCACTCAGCCATGCCCTCCCTGAGCCCTTGGAAGTCCTTTCTGCTATCTTCCCTGTGGACGGCTAGGTTTGTGTTCAGAAAGCAAATGACTGACTATAGGATGGAGGAGACATGACTGGACTCTCATTCATATAAGAACAACATGTGGTCAAGAATCCTAGTAGAGCACGAGCTCAGTACACACCCAGAAGAGGGGCATCAATGGGCTTTCTCCTACAATGCTCACTCAGCATTACTGTCCCCAGCTCCCAGCCTCCCTTGATCTCTCCCATCACTTAAGATGTGAAGACACATCTTGGTCATAGGGAGAGGTCTCTCTGTCTTTGGACACAGGCAGCTACTGATTCCAAACAATACAATCACCAAACTCTACTGCTTGCCCTTTGACTCCTAGATGTCTATCACCCCAGTTCACAACCCTCGGTCCTGCATATACTCATTCACACTGCTGTAAACCCCTATTCCTTGCTGAAACACCTCTAGAATGTCTTCAGGTACCCTTCATGCATTGCATACACACTCACCGGTTCTCATGAGTCCAGCTATTTCCTTATAGATTCAGGGATATGCACACACCTACACACCCATATGGAGTCCTGGTGTGGTGCTGTGGGTTAATGTGCCAGACTGCAAAGCCGTTTGAACTGCAAGGTCGGTGGTTCAAGCTCACCAGCTCCTCTTTGGAAACCCTATTCAGGGTCTCCATGGGTCAGAACCGACTCGACAGCACTTAACAACAACAACAACACACATATATGTTACCTTTGAATGTCAATTATTCAGACTAAAGAAGAGAAGTAACACCAAGACCTCAGAGAACCCCATAATTAAGTCTGCCAGGCCCAAGATCCTGAGATTGAGGCTTCTAGTGTTGGGACTCAAAAGATAGTGGTGATTTAAGTCAACCTCTGGAGTCAGGGGAGTTGGCAAGTTGATCCCTGAGAGTCCCTTTTGAGTCTGATATGTGTGTGAGGTGGAAGCTGGGGAAGAGAGGCCAAGGCCGTGATGGATTGAACTTTCATGCATTGTTGTTAATGTTGTAAAGTGCTGTCGAGTCAGTTCTAACCCATAGCAACCCTGTATAGGGTTTCCAAGGAGTGGCTGGTGAGCTTGAACCATCGACCTTGTGGTTCAAATGACTTTGCCGTCCAGTGCATTAGCCCACAGAGCCATAATAGGACTCCGAACTTTCATATAGGGGGCTAGAAATTTTCAAAGTCACAGGCTTGGGACAACTAAGGCTCCCCATTTGACAGCTGAAGACACTGAGGCACCAAGATTGACCTATCTGTGGTCAGTGAGCCAGTTCAGTCAGAGTCACATCCAGAACCCATCTCTGGCTCTCCAGCCCCAGTCTGGCTCCTAACCTGAGCACCTCCTTTGGCTCCTTCCCTAGGGAGTTTAGAGAGAACAGTCTGTCCTTTCTTCTGATTGGTGGGCTCCTTGACCTGTCCTTTGCTTCAATTGGGGGACACCCTGACCTGTCCTTTACTGGTATTGGTGGGTGCCTATCTGGCCTTTGTTCTGATTGCTCAGTCTTCTGTGACTCTTTAGGCCAGGGCAGGGTAATGGTGGGGAGGAGGAATGGGAAAGGAAATTTGGGGAGGGTTGGAGCAATAGCAAGGATGTGCTTTTCATGTCTTTGGCCGGAGTAAGCTTGATGCAGACATGGTTAATGAAGCCTGGGACTCTGTCTGGCATCCTCCTTTCCATCTACATATTGACTTTGCCCACCCTACCCCAAGAATGTGTGTGTGTGTGTGTGGAAAGGCCACTTCATACCTCACACTCAAAGAGGCTGAAACCCACATGCCACCTGCTCTGTGAACCCTCCCCAGATCTACCTCAGCCCCAAACACTCTGGAAAGAAATAGCTCAAATTCTAAAACCCATGAGCTGGCAACTCAGACAGTGAAATGGGAGGAGAGAACCGGTGGGGAAACAACTAAGGATGGGGGATTCCTGAATCAAGGAACAAGTGGGGAGTAAGGCACAAGTCAGGGGCCAGAACTCCAGGAACCTTAAAAGGAAGAGGAAAGGGACAATATAAACACAGCCACATCCACTTGCATGTCCATCTACAAATGTCACCCACACCCACACTTCTGCCCATACATATATGCATACCTTATACATGCATGCACACACAGAACAGTAACCATATATACAACACACACACAAGTACACACATATACACACACACACAGAGCACAGGTATGGGATGGGAGGAGGAGGTCACATTTCCTGCCCTTGCAGTTTTGTTTTTTGAACAAACAGCAGCAGTATAAATATCAGCATGTTAACCAGGCAATTTTCCAGACTCCAGGGAAGAATTGGTGGTATGTAGACAAGTGCAATGATTTCCAGTTCCAGTCCCAGATTATCCACAGTCACTCTGTGTGGCCTGAAGCAAGCCCCTTTCCTCATTTGAGTCTTGGTTTCCTCATTAGTAAAAAGCAGATCCTTTCAGCTCTGCAGAATATAATTCTGTGTATCCTGGTTGAATTCAAAAAGGATGGATGTGGATGAATAGAAGGAACTTCTTGTTTTCCTCAGCCCCCTACCTGCAAACTCTGCAGGTGGAGGTAGGACTAGTCAGCACCACAGACAGCACCATTCCCCCATATACTTGTCTTAGTCTCAGGTACCAAGAAATGGACCCTGGTTCTGAGTTCCAGCTTCTCTGGAGCTAGGACTGGAGTTCAGCATGGGCTGGATCAGCATTTCAGCACTAGCATGGGAAAAGGAGGGGCTCTGGATTTCATAACTTCTAGCTCCTCCTGGCATGGTACATTAGGATAAGCACTGGACTACTTACCACAAGTTGACAATTAAAACCACCAGTCACTCCTCAGAAATCCTAAACAAGGTCATTATGAGTCAGGACTGACTTTGGCCTTATCTTTCCTGAGAGGTGGGTCTGTCACAAATTGCTCTCCTGTGTCGTCTCCCGGAGGCTCTGTGTCTTCTCTTACCTCCACAACTCTTCCTATTACTCTCACCCTGCCTAGCACCTAGACTCCAGCCACCCTCTCTTTTTGGAATGATGCCCCATGGTGCCCCTTACAGTGGCTTATAAGAAGGTAATAACATCAAACCCAAGGCTCAAGCCACGTTATCAGAACTGGCCGTTCACAACAGTTCACCCACCCCATCTGCGAGGTCACTTGTGTGGCCTGGGATGGAGCCTCCTCTCTCTGGGCCTTCTCTAAAGGGAAGGGGTATTTCAAGATCCCCCAGGACGGTGAAACTCCTCTCCCTCTGTGCTCTGCTTCCCTTTCCTCTGGGTGTTTCTTTTTGAGGCTCAGGCTCTCCCTCTCTCCCTGCTCCCTACCCCCCACCAAGTCAACATCCATCTCTCCATCACAGGCACCTCTCCTGTCTCATTTCCATGAAGCTCTGCATCTTTTCCCACCTCCGCATCCTCTTTCTTCCTCTCAGGTGGCGTCTCCTCCACTTGCCATTTCTTGCTCCCTCCTGCTCCTGTCTTTCCTATCCACTCATCCCAGATCCTCCAAGTAGTCACCCTGAGATGTGAGGAGAAAGTACCTGACCTAACATGGGCAGCCACAGAATGGCAACAATGGGTCCAGAGTTCCAAGACAGATGCTATCTATATGTCCTCTGAATCCTGCCTCATATCCTGGTGGGCAGGATATGAGATAAGAGACATGGTCTCTTATCTTCCCAGGTGACAGGACCCCTTGAGGGCAAAGGAGAATGTATTCATCTCTGTGCTCAGCATGAGTTTGGCATTAATCACACAGCTGCTCAGTCAGGGGGACTGAGAGAACTGCCCTAAAGGAGGCCTCTTGAAGGTGCAGACCAGAGAAACCCCTCTGGCTGGGTCCTCAAACCCCAGCCTGAATCCTAAGTTTACTCTGTGATTCCAGCCCTCACAGCATCCCCTGCCCAGTATAGACAGGAGACAGTAAGGACCAGGCTGCCCCTCCTCCCACACTGCTTGCCACCTGCCCAAGAAGCCATCTCCAACAGACACTGGAGTCTTAAGTTCTCAGAGAAGAGCTACCCAGAATGCAAAGATCCTGGACCCCAGACTTTCCCTTGGTAAGACTGGGTTAGACATGTTGTTGCTAAGTGCCATCGAGACAATTCCAATTCATAGCAACCCTGTAAAGGGTTTCCAAGGAGCAGTTGGTGAGTTTGAACCACCAACC